AGAGAGCCAAGGTCCAAGTAGCAGCAGGTTCAAGAAGCTTCAGTTGCGTCATTGCAACCATTTTCATAGTTTCATAGGCGCCGGCTTCCAGAGTTTCATAGCACCCAAAGAGAATAGTTGCATAGCCAGCACCTTAAATAGTTTCGTAGCAGGCAAATTTCATGGTTTCGTAGCAGCGACTTCAAGAGTGGATTTATTTAGAAATTATGGCATACTTTCAGGCTGTTTTGCAAATACAAATTCTGGTTCCAATCGGTTGGCACAACTGTCCCTATAACGAAAGATATAGCCAAGGAAAAACAAAAAGTTGAAGCGACTTAAAATTGGTACAAAACGAGAAAAATAAAAAAAAAAAACTTCAAACGCCAACCTAGCTTACAAAAGCACAATTCTCGAAATACGAAAAAATCTATTTTCTTTTATCTATTCGAATTATAATGCATCATAGACCTTATCAATACTTTTTCTATATTTTTAACATCGATATTAATAGAAAAAAGTAAATTAAAGTTTTCGCTGGCGCATCAACGAATTTTGGTGCCAATTTGCAGCCGATGCAAAAAAATGTATAATTTATACAACAAAATTGAAACTGTTGAAATTAATTACTTTTTCAGAGTTACATAAATGAAAAATGTTTTTTTAAAGGTTTTTCTCCGACATAACAGTTTTGAAGATAACCTTAAATATTTGTTATGTTTACGGTTTTAGCATTCTTCCGTGGAGCTTACCAAAAAATCCTGGACTTGTCTAGTTGGTAATTTGGTTCGTCCTGATTATAAAACAGTAAATATCATTGTTCTTTGATTGCGTCTATTTTTTTTTAGTAGTTTCATTGTTTGCCGACCAGAATATGACTAGTGTTTCAGAGTAAAGTCTGACCAGGCGTTGTAGACAATTGGATGCGTGTAGATGTATAACAGCACCCACATTAGGAACTCTCAGATTTCGATTGGGCAACTCTTATATCTCTCTATTATATTCGATATTTTACTCATATAGGCGTGAGCGAGCGAAGCGAGTGTGCAGGGGGCTTGCCCTCTAGTTATACATAGATATATATTAGTTTTTGCAGCCGCATTGAAATTTGAGGTAAATTTGAGGTGAATATTTCCATATGGAGGACTGGTAGACAGCCACTTTTCTGAGCAGCGATAGCTTGTTTTTGGGTGCAACCACGACCTGGTGCTGAACCATGATTGGTGTGGGCCTTGGAGTTCAGTGTCCTGTCCAGTACGAAACGTAAATATCTGTGGGAGCGCTTGCAATCTTGTTGTAGTCTGTTGTTTAAGGCATAGCTTCGCCATTTCTGGTCCGATCTAGACGTAGTCCATGGAGATCCTATCAAGGATCAAGGATCTAGCAGTTCAAGAATAAATCCAGCTAATCCAGAGCGAAACAGAATCAGAAAAATGTTATACACTGCTTTTGTTTTATTTGCTTGTATTTCTTTTTATTTTTATTTATATTTTGTTTTTGTTTTTAGCTTTTTAATATGTTGTATTTAATTTTATATTATTATTTGTAAGCTTACAACTTAAGGCATAAGGTTACAAACTAAAACTTAGGTGCTAAACATCATTACCATGCTATCGATCATAATCAGCTCTAGCTCTGCGCCTCGTCGCACATTATGCGAGTATGCATATTTGCCCACACAATATGCCTGTTTTACCATCTATCCCTCGATCTGTTTCCATATTGTTTCATAAATATTGGTTTATTGTTATCGATGATGTCTTCAAAAACTGTTTTTGTTCACCATATTTCGTGTATACCATATAATATATAGATTTTTGTATTGTTCCAACAACAGAATAGATCCAAAACAATAGAAAGTTCATCCAATATAGCGAATTTCCATTTGTGGTTTGCTTAAATCGTTTTAATGCGCTTCTTCTTGTTTTACATACATCCGGCGACATACATCGACTGGCGCTTTCGCACAGCTTTAAAATTCGGTTATTTTTGTTCATACATATATTTATCTGTTTTCTGTTTTTATATATTTATATGCATAGAAAGTGCTCTCTATCGAGGATCGAATCGATTCGGATTCGGAATCGGAATTGGGTCAGGATCGGGTCGAGTGGGTCGAGCAACGGCAAGCTGTTTCGTTGTGTTGTCGGCTCTGTTTCAGGCCAAGCATATGTCCATTAGTCTGTCCGTCCTCGTCCCAGTCCTCGTTCCGGCTCCGTTCGCACCACATCACCACAACCTAACCCCAATCCCGACCCCAACCCCAAAACACAACCCAACCATAACCACCCGCCAGACTGGGGCTCCGGACGCCGTTCAATTTGTTAGTTATAATGTTTTGCCGTTTTACATACATTTATTCATATATATATATATATATACATATATATATATATACATATATATATATACACATGTATATATATTTGTAAAATTGGTTTCTGTATATATAGAATTTGTTTCATTATTTAATTTGTTATATATATATATATATATATATATTTATAAAAAAAAATACGAGTTATGCTCTTAACTAAAACGTTGCTTCTGCTCTGACGCCCAGAGTTGCGTTACATGTTTCTTGCAGCATTTTCATTTCCGTTTCCGTCTCCGCTTCAATACATATCTTTATCGTTATCATTATCTTTATCTTTATCGGTATCGTTACCGTTAGCTTTTACATTCACATACATATCTATATATTTATCATTTTCCGTTAATATTTTACAGTTTTCTGTTTTGTTGAATAAGTCTTAGCGTTTGTTGTTTACTTTATAATATATGTATATATATATACTCGTATATATATGTATATATATGTATATATACACATATATAGATTGTTTTTTGTTTTAGTTTCATTATGTATTAAAAATATTGAATTATTTTGTTTTGTGGTTTTTCAATTGGTTTCATTCTTGTTTTTTGCGTTTGCATGTAAAAAAAATAAGTTAAAAAAAAAACGAATTAAACAGTAAAATAGCTAAACACTAAACTGTTTCGTAAGACATAGGGTTTATATAAAAAAATATGCATATGTATATCCCATATATATTCACGTACACATACATACACACGTACATCCATCAATATATATTGTATATATATGTATGTATAATGCTCTGGCCATCAACTGGCCCCTGCTCTCTAGGTATGGTATTACATGTGCATCGTATGTATCATTTGTATGGGGGTTTCTTTTCTTTTTTTTTGTTTTCTTTTCGTTTCTTTATTTGACTTACATGCGACATTTCATTAGCTTAGCAGTAAACGTAGTACATAATCATAATCCAATAATAGCGATCGCTTACAGTGGATGCAACACACAAAAATCCATCGTAAATTAATTTTGCGTATATAAAATTGAAAAAAAATATAATATATATATATAAACGAATAATAATCGTAATCGTAATCGTAATTGTAATCGTAATCGTAATCGTAAAGTGTTACGTATAGATAAGATCGATTGAAACGATGCTCTCGCTAAACTTAAGCGCAGTTCTTTCTTTTCTTCTTTCTTTTATGAAATTTACAAAAAGTCGTTTAAATAATGTGTGTGTGTTGGGAGAGGGCGGGGCGGGAGAGGTTATGCTACAGTTTAAAATAATAAATTTACCTCCTTCTCTAATTTCGTTTTCCTTTTATGTTTAGATCTTTTTTCTCTTTTCTAAGAACAGCCCAACAGTGTGAGTTTCTCTATATATTTCCTCTTGATTTACTCTTATCTATACGTTTACGGTGTGTGTATGTATATATATATATATGTGTATTTGTATATGTATATGTATATTGTGTGTGTGGCTTCTTGTTATACATACATTTATGTGGTTATATATATATATATTTTGTCACTACCATTCACAGTGTTCTATCGACTGAGGGCGTGGGGGGGGGGGGGGGGGCTTTCGGTTGGGGAGGGGAAGGAAGGGAAACACTTGTTGCACGACAGCAAATATACACCAAACGCAAAATACACTTACACACCCACACACACACATAGGGGAACAGTAAAAAGGTCATTGATGGAACCCAAAGGCTCTCTCACAGTGGAGGGGTGGGGGAGCTAAAAAGGGGAGATCCAAATATCTAAAGAGCGGGTGCATGTGTGTGTGTGTGCGCCATCTAAGAGGGAGAGAGAGAGAGAGAGAGAGAGAGAGAGAGAGAGAGAGAGAGAGAGAGAGAGAGATAGAGTGAAGTGGAGTGGAGTGAAGTCCAGAGTGGGGCCCAAGAGTTGCAGGAGCAGCAGCAGCAGCAGGTCTGCTTCTGTCTCTCAAGGGGGAATAGGGGGTGGGGTAGTGGGGTGGTGTGGGAGGCATGTATGTACATATGTACCAGTCCAATAAAAAACAATTTCATTTGTAATTGCGTCTAATCTAAGCTTCAAATCTAAATAAATGTCAAATAGATATCCGATTTCCGAATTCCGATTTCCAATAGCCGATTGCCGATTGCCGATTTCCAGCTTAAATCCTTTTCCCTTTCCGCTCTCCTCCTTTTGTGCTAATCCTAACTACACTAACAATGGGTGCGTACATGTGTGTGTGTGGGAGGGAGGAGTGCCAAGAATTTGGGCATCAGTTAACTTTCTCCCTCTATCTCTCCAGCTCACCCACTCACTCTTCCTCGCCCTCGCTGTGTTTACTTTTGCCGTTGCACTCTTAAAGCCTATCGCCTATCGCCCATGGCCTATGCCAACGCGTTTCTCTCTTCTGTGTTTAGCTTTTTACATTTTCTCTCTCTCTTCGTTCCTAGATATATCTGTATCTGTATCTGTATATATATACGTATAGCTGTTGGTGCATCGTTTCGCTCTTTACATACGATCCTGATCCTGCTGGTGTCAGTAGTAGCCCGGATTACCGCCGGCAGCACTGCCACCGCCGCTGGCCGCGTAATGCTCGCTCGCATAGTACAGTGCCCGCTGCTGTGCCGCCCGCTGCTGCGCCACTTCCTGGGCCGCCAGATGCGCTTGCTGGGCCGCTGCTTGCTGGTGCGCTCGCTGCGCCGCCTGCTGATGCGCCGCCTCCTGCGCCGCCTGCTGCTGATGCGCCTGCTGTTGCTGGTGATGATGATGCTGCTGCTGCTGCTGCTGCGACTGCAGGGGTGGAGGCAACGCCGTCGGCTGGTAGGGGTGCCGGGGCGAGGGCTGCTGATGCGTCGTTAGCGACAGCGGTAGCGGAAGCTGCTGGGCATGTGGATGCGTATGCTGGTGTGTAAGCGGAAGCGGGAGCGGTAGCGTGTGCGGATGAGAGTGCGCTGGCTGCACGGACGGATGGTGCCGTCGATAGCCGTAGCCGTAGACCAGGCTCAGCGGGCTGAGGGGGTTGTTGACTGCTGCTACCGCTGCTGCTGCCGCTGCTGCTGCTGATGCTGAAGCTGCTGCTGGAGGCGCCGTCGCTGCTGCCGTCAGATGTCGTAGACCCGACGACGACGCCTGCAGTCACAACTAATCTTCGTCGCTCAGTGCCTCGTACTTGGACGACAGCAGAGGCTTTGGCTCGCTGGCCGCTGCTGCTGCTGCCGCCGCGGCGGCTGCGGCCGCCGATTTGCTGGAACTCAGGGAGCCACCCCCCTGTCCGACACCGCCACCACCCCCGGGGCCACCCACGCCACCGGGTCCGAGGCCGGCTCCGCCGCCGCCCACCACTAGACTAACGCCCCCGCCCGCGCCCCCAAGATCGCTCAGGGCGTGCGCCGCCTTGGTCTTGGCGCTCAGGTGGCTGGGCGGCGCTGGCTGGTGCGCCAGCTGCATGGCCTGCGGCGGCGGCGGCAGCCCGCCCGCAGCGCTGGGCACGGTGAGTGCGCTGAACGGGTAGGTGTAGGTGCTGGCGGCGAAGGCCTGCGGTGGCGGATGGTAGGCCGACGGGTGGTGGCTATTGGAGCCGGCGCCGCCCGAGCGTCGACCGCTGCCGTCGACCACCTCGTACTGGTTGGGCGTCTTCCGGGACACGCTGATCTCGTGCGACGGCGGCGGCTGCTGGGGATCCTTGCTGCGGTGCTGCTGTTGCTGCTGTTGCTGCTGTTGTTGTTGCTGGTGCTCAAAGGCGGCTACCATGTGGGCGGTGTGCGCTGCGACTGCGTTGGACTGGGCCACTAGGTCGCCGGGATCGTCATCCGATCGCACTTCCACAATGCGGTTCTTGGCATAGCTGCCCGGCCCGTCGTCACGCATCACCTCCGCGATGCGGTTCTTCACGTATTTGTATATGGTGGTCACGGATCCGTCCGCACCGCCTCCGCCCGGCACACGCTGGTCGGGGGGCGGAGGAACGCCCACGCGACCCACAACCGAGCCGGGGCCGGGCAGGTAGTAGTGGCCGGGGTCTCCGCCGGCCACCACAGCCTGGTGGAGCATAAGCTCGTGGGCGTAGTTGCGGGGACTGACCGGCTGGGGCATGCGGATGATGTTGCGTCCGTCCTCGGGCGTGTTTGCCCTGACGCCGGGCGGACCTCCGGAGGATCCTGGTCCCCCACTGGGTCCGCCGCCAGGACCACCGCTGCCGGGCATGCCCTGCTGCTGCTGGTGGTGCTGCTTCTGTTGCTGGTGCTGCTGGTGGTGGTGTTGCTGCTGCTGCTGCTGTTGCTGCTGCTGCGCCTGGTGCTTGGCCTCCTCGGCCTTGTGCTGCATGCGTCGGTTCTGCTTCCAGCGGTCTGGCGGAAGCATCGTCTGCGGCGGCCCCTCCATGTAGGTCATGAATGGGGGCGTGGGCCGCATGTGTGGATTCGAGACGTAGTCGTTGGTGATGATCGAGTCGGTGAGCTCTCCGAAGGTGATGCTCTTGGTGTGGATCTGCTGGGGACTGGGTGCTGGTCCGGGACCCTGCGCCTGGGATGTGGGCGTATGCGGCTGGCCGCGCATCGATCCGTGAACGGATCGCGACTGGCTCGACTGCTGCTGCGGCGGAGGACCCTGTTGCTGTTGTTGCTGTTGCTGTTGCTGTTGCTGCTGCTGCTGGATGGCAGCCGTCGCCGCGGCGGCTGCGGCGGAGAGGCGCTCCTGGTCCAGATCAATGTTGATGACGTTCGGGGACTGGGAGTTGGCCTTGCCATTGTTCTCCGGCGCTAGCTCCAGCGGCTGTCGATGGTATTGCTGGAGGGCGAAAAAGGCGTGGGAGGGAGAATTTGTTAGTTCGGGATGCCTCCACGTTGGGTGGTTTCAGCTCTAGATGACTTACGAATGGGGCTCGCGTGTACTCGCGCCCGGTGGCTCCGGTGGCGTCGTTGGAGCGACTTATCTGGTGCTTGATGATGGCATCGATCAGGTTCTGGGCGCTCAACTGGCCAGGGACATCCTCAGTGGGCTGGCTGGCATGTGGGGGCCGATAGTATCTAAGGATGATCAGGTGGCGATTATTTTAAAAGTCTAAAAGGTTTCAAATGGTTTCAACTAAAAGGCTAACATCGGAGTCCCCCCCTTTTAGACAAGAAAGAACTATCCATATTCCTGGTGCACATATCATCAAAAAACGACTTCTAGGGATATAGAATTGTGTATGCCAATAGCTATCGCACGTGTATATTTCAGGCAGGATCTAATGAGATGAATACTTGGAGACATCAGTGCATTCAGCATCAGTGAGTGGGAGAGCGGATGGTATTCGTATACATATATTTTCACTCATACATATATATGTGGGGCATCAACCAAGGGAAAACGGATTTGTATTCTGACAAGAGGCTTAACTTGAGTACAGTTCTTAATTAGCCCTATTATTGGATAGATTGCTGCTTAGGTTCATTTAGAGGCGCATGCGCACGCTACAAAACCTGAGGCAATGAACATTTAGTTTTCGTTGTTCCGGGTGGACCTTTCCATGGATACTTGAAGGTCTGCAAATTCAGGGGAATTCAGTGCTAGAGCTCTTCTCCCGACATCCTGCATACGGGACTGCTCTGCGGTCCCCACTCTGTCCACTCTGTCCTCTAGTATCATTCAAAAGACGATATTCTATAATGATGCTGTACTTACTCTCGCTCGCGATCGGGAATGGAGCGCGGTGGTCCCGTCTCGGGGACTGGGGCGCGTATGTAGTGTCCTGGCGGTGGGGGGCCACCGGGTCCGGCTGCAGTGACCACGCCGCCGGCGAAAATGCGGTCCCGCTCCATGCGGCGCTCCCGCTCTTCGGCCACCACGCGACGCTCTCTGTCCTGCTCGCGACGCTCTCGTTCTCGCTCCCGTTCACGGTCCCGCTCACGGTCCCGTTCCCTTTCGCGCTCCCTCTCCCGCTCGCGCTCTCGTTCCCGCTCCCGTTCGCGCTCACGCTCGCGGTCCCTTTCGCGCTGCATGCGCTCCTGGTTCTGGAGGAGCTCGCGGTCGCGCTCGATGGCATGATTGTGCTGCAGCTGCTGGCGCTGCAGGTGCTGGCGGTACTGCTGCTGCTGCTGGACGAGCTGCTGCTGGACGAGCTGCTGCTGGTGCACCATTTGCTGGTGTATGGCCATATCGCGGTACCGCATGTCATGATGGGCTGCCGGCGGCACCTGGGACACTGCCACGGCATGCGGCGGCGGGGCCTGTGGTCCGGCATGGGGACCCCCTGGACCTGGTGGTCCTCCTGCGCCCGGCGACTTGTCGCCCTTCTGCGACGGTACCGGCAGCTGTGGCTGCTGGACGGCCACGTCTACAAACGAGGCCAATGCATCGTGGCCAGCTGCGGAGTTGAGTGGATTAAAGATTAGTCTGTGGCTCCAGGACGTGGGTGGTGAGGTCTGTGGAGCGGAGGGCGTCGATATCTCACCTGGTGGATACTGGTAGGGCGTCACGATGTGCATGCGGCTCGGCGGCGGAGCAGCGGGCGAGGGTGGCTTGGAACCTGTGTTGTGGCGTTGTATCACACCCTGACGTTGCGGCGGAGGCGTACGATGTGGACTGGGTGTGCTGTGGAGAGATTGTGGTGGAGATAAGTTACACATTCCGGTTCCTGGGACTGGACTGGCGCTTGCGACACTCACCTGTTGGCATGGTCCGCTGGGGAGGCACGGCTCGAGTACTCGGGCCGGCCACGTGGCGTCGGTTCCTTGTCGTAAGCGAAGCCGCCGCTGCTGCTGCCGACGCTGTTGCGCGGAGAGGGCGACTCCTTGTCCTTGTCGCTGGCGCTGCCGCGCGAGACGTTGCGCTGCTGCTGCTGGCCCTGCATCTGCTGCGAGGTTATGTAGTCGTGCATCACGATCTGCCGCGTGCTCAGCACCGGGGCCTGCTCCCCAACGAAGGGGGAGCGGCCGTAGGGAGAGCCCACGCCGACACCCACCCCGACGCCATATCCCTGCGGGGGCGGTGCCTGGGGCGAGGATTGTTGCGGTGGTGGCGGCAGCTGGCCGGGCACGGGCCCACCTGGTCCGGAGCCGGGTCCCGCCTGGGCGGGACTGTGGCGCTGCGAGCTCTTGTAGAATTCGTACGCCCGCTTGCTCTCCAGATGGTGCTGCGGCAGATGGAGGGGCGTGCCCTGCGTGATGGAGCCATGCTTGCCGCTGTCCGGCGGACACACGACTCCGGGTGGTGTCTGGCGCACCATGCTCTCGAACTTGGGGCTGAGCATCGACGAGGAGGTGGCCGCGTGCACGATGATCTGCTGCTGGGCGCTATTCGCCGGGGTTCCGTGTGTGATGGAGCCGCTCTTCACCAGCAGCTGCTGCTGCTGTTGCTGCTGCTGCTGCTGGGAGGGCGAGGCGTGCTGCGAGGGATGTGACGGGTGCGACGGATGCGATGGGTGTGACGGATGGTGCGACGGGTGGGGGCCGTGCTGGGCGTGGGCCGGATGCAGATGGTGCGCCTGCTGGGGACTGAGCTTCGGCTGCACCTTGGAGGACACTCGTCCGCCCGACGGGGGCGGTGGCTGGTGCTGGGGCTGGGCCGGGGGCGGCTGGCTGGAGCGCGGCGGCATCTGGCCCTGGCCAATGGAGATGGGTACAGGTACTGGTACTGGCTGGACGTAGATCGAGCCACCCGGCCCGGGCCCGGCTCCGGCCAGGGGTCCCACTTCGGGTCCGCCCGTCACCTTGAGCGGGCCGTGCGGCTGCTGGTACATGTAGGAGCCGGCCGTCGCCAGCGTCGGCACGGAGACCGCCTCTCCGCGATACATGGCCGTGGAGCGGACGATGTGCTTCATGGCGCTGGACATTGAGGGCGGTGGCACATGGTGCCGCTCGGATCCCCCGGGACCAGATCCACCCGATCCGCCAGGTCCCGTGTGGGGCGAGTGGCCATCCCTGTCCCTCGGCGGCTTCTTGATGCTCAAGTCGAGGGTCTGCGGCTCCGAGTCCGACCCCTGTTGGCTTGGTGGCGGCACTCCCCGCTGCGGATGGGTGGGTGGCGGTCCGTGACTCGTGGGGACATTGTAGATGATCGTCTCGGTGCCGAGTGGCGGCGGTGCTGAGTGGCTGGACGGGAGCCCGCCCTTGGAGGAGCCCGCACCTATTCCGGTCTTCACAACGGGCGTAATGGTGGCCTTGTCCCCAACACTGGCACCCACTCCCACGGACGTGGCGGCGGGATGGCCTATAAGTCCGGGATGTGTTAGCGGACCCACGCCCACACCGACTCCCCCCAGATGGGAGTTGACGACGGAGAGGGTGGCCAGGTTGCCGTCGCTACTGCTGCTGGTTCCGTTGCCGCTGCTGGAGGATGACGGCGGTGGCACGGCCGCTGGACGCGACGGCAGCTTCTGCACGGAGGTGCCGTGCGGCAGGCCGCTGGGCGGTCCACCCACCACCTGCTGCTGCTGCTGTTGCTTGAGGATAGCCGTATTCCCGTCCTGCCGATACTCCCGGACAATAGTGAGCTCCTTGCGCTCCAGATTGTTCGGATGCTGGGAGGGAGGCGGCTGCTGCTGCTGCTGTTGCTGCTGTTGCTGTTGCTGCTGCTGGGAGGCGGCCTGGCTGGGGGGCATTCCTCCGGCAGAGGAGGACTGCTGCGTGGACTGTTTGCGCTCCGGTCCCTTGTGCTTCAGCGACCGCTCGATCACGGAGAAGACGCAGTCCTGCACATTGTTGACCGCCTCACGGCGCATGCTGATGGGACCGTTCATCGGTTGCGACTGTGGTTGCTGCTGTTGCTGCTGCTGCTGCTGCTGCCCCTGCTGTCCGACTCCCATTCCGGGACTCATTCCGGGCGGCACTCCTCCCATTCCGGCTCCTCCCATCACCACTCCCACTCCTGCGGCGTTTGGTGGCTGCAGTCCGCCTACATTGTTGCTGCCATGACCGTGTCCGTGTCCATGTCCGTGTCCGTGTCCATGGCCGTGCCCGTGGGCATGCGGATGGCCGTGTCCAGGTCCGTGCACGTGTCCGTGGACATGGCCGTGACCGTGGGCGTGGACAGCGTTGAAGAGCACCTTGGGGCTCTGGCGGTTGGCCGGAGAGTTCTCGTTCTCCTCGTCGGCCGTCTCCGTGGCCGAAGAGTCGTACTCCTCGCTGGTCTTCTGCTTCTTGGGCGCCTGTCCGGCGGCCGGGGGCAGCAGACGCTCGTTGTCCGCCGCCGACGATGCCTTGGAGCTCATCCGCGTGGGGGTGATGATTAGCGGCAGCTCGGGAATTCCGCGCAGTCCCACGCCCACAGGCGAGGGCTTCTGCTGGTGCAGGTGTTGCTGCTGCTGCTGCTGCTGCTGGTGCGGATGCTGCTGGGGGACTGGCGGAGGCGGCTGGGGCAACTGGATCCCCAGCTGGTGCTGTTGCTGCTGCTTGGTCAGGGTCAGGGGCTTGTGGCGCTGCAGATTCTCGGGACTCTCCACGGAGGCTGTGTCGGAGCCGCCAGGCTCTCGCTCGTCGCAGGACGAGGTGCTGACGTCCGTCTCGTCGCCGCCGCTGCCCCCGCCGCCGGCAGCGTCCGTGAGATTCAGCTGAGGGTCGAGCTTGCGCCGGATGCGCATGAGGCAGGCGGAGCAGCAGCGCGTCGCGTGCGGCGGTATCTGGAGCTCCGCCATCACGGGATCGCGCACCTCGGGCGCCAGCTCGAACAGTCGCGTCGGTATGTTGTGCAGCCGCTGTGCCCGTTCCTTGGGGTTAGGGCACGTCGAAAGGGGACAGCTCGGGTAGCGGTTCCGCACCGATTTGCACTGGCAGCTGTTGCACACCCGCGCCCCTGCCGGTATCGACTCGTCCGGTATGCCATACTGCTGCCCACGGCCCTTCTTCAGGGGCCGCGTCCTTGGACATGCCTCCGCCTTGCACACGAAGCAGTTGGCCAGCTTGTCTGCAACAAAAGAGATAGAGAGAGTGGGTGAGTGAGTGGGTGGGTGAGCGGAGCTGAGCGGAGCAGGAGGGTAAGCAAAAGTTATGCAAACACATTAAAAAATACGATTTAATTAAAGGCAAATGGTCAGAAGAGGGCGATGGGTGGAGTGCCACTGGGGGAGTGGCTGTGGGAGACGCTTTCATTAAGCCACTTAACAAATAATGAGCAGCAGCAGCAGCCAATTGAATATTTTAAAACGCCCGCCCGAAGTGGGGGAAAACGGACAGGGGATGGAGGAGGGATGAGGATGAACAGATTCACATGGGGATGAATGGATGGAGCGAAATCTAGAGTGGATTGCAGACACCGCAGACTGGTGTTGAGCGGAGCAATCAGATTTCATTATACTCGTATCTACGAGCAGTGTTTCCAAAGAGGAACATATGGAAAGGAAACAAGTGGGAAATAGAACCATGGAACGAGGGAAACACAACCATGGGATGAGTGAAAGACGTGGGAAACATAGCAATGTAAAGAGTGAAACAAGTGGGAAGCAGACCCATGGAACGACCATGAAACGGAACAATTTCAACTTCTTTGGAATGGAAAGAATTTTCAGCTGAAAAGAAAACTATCCAAAATTCATCCAAGCGATCAACATTCTGAAGTTACAAGGAATCAATCAATTTGGAAATGTGAAAGGAAATGCTTAAGATATCATCCCAAATATGACTTATCAGGCTGCAGAGCTATCTATAGAATATAGAACATGGAGATCCATAGCTCCGATATTGCCCGACCGATGTACCGAGCTAATTACTCGTACTAGCTAGCTGCTCGTATTCCCTCCAATTTCATTCGGTATTCGTTAATGTGAGATTCACCGAAATTTGATTATCGTTTCATTTCGTTTCGAGTGCGAGGACGGGCACAATCTCTGGCCATCAGTGGAGGAAATCTCCAATCTTGACTGAGTGCCGGGCAGATTTGTGTTTGTCTTAGTTTTTGTTTTGCCATTTTACTTGTAATAATTTTACAATTTTAATGATGTGCAAATAAAGCGAGAGAGAGAGAGGGAGGGAGAGAGAGAGAGAGCGAGAGGATGAGGATGAGAACAATTGCGGCATTTAAGGAAAATCAATGTAATTAAAAGGGGACTTTGGGGGAGGAATGGAATGGAATGGAAGACTGGCTCTGACTCTGACTCTGGCTGTAAGTAAAATCAATCAGCGTTTCGAAATGTCAGACATACAACGATGAATGCTGAATGCTGACCAAACAGACGAACAGTGGGAGCGGGAGCGAGAGGGGGAGAGAGAGAGAGAGCTCTTCTGCCACTGTCACTGCCACTGCCACTGCCACTCCCTGCCATTTTCCAGAACCACTCCTCCACTCCCACTCATTGCGTGGCTCGCGAATCTCAGCGGAATATGAAAATACATCAAAGTAGCCAGCCCCCAATCCCCCTTCCCCGCCCAGTGGGCCTGGACCTCTCTTTCTCTCTACCTTCCACCCCCCACCTTCTACCCCACTCGTTGACCAAGCAGAAAGCGAAAAATAAACGCAAGTAAAAATGCTTTTTGAGCGTTAAAATTTTAATAAGCCACCCATTTTAATTTTGATTGTTGCGCGGAGCGGTGAGAGCAGGGGCCAAAAGGGGCCAAAAAGGGGAAAAACCACACGAAAAACGATTCCATTTTAGCGAAGAAAAAAAAACGAAAAGAACCCAAACTACAGAAAAGTTGGCAACACTGGCAGGCTGAGGAGAGAGCGAGAAGACGGAGAACAACAAGTAGGCAACACTTTTTTTGCACTTTTACTGAGAGGAGGAGGAGGAGGAGGAGCTGGAGCGGTAGCGGTAGCGGGAGCCTCAATCCAATTGCAATTAAGAGTCTGCGAGTCGAGCATAGATTGCAAATTAAATAAAAATCACAAAATAAATATTTAATATTAATAACAGTAACACAACCCAACCGAACCGAAAAGAGATCAACAAAAAGAGTGTTTTGCAGTAAATCGAAATGAGAGCAACAAAAACGGAATGTAAGCAATCAATTGGGTAAAAAGACTACACGATTACGATTGACTGGGCTGGGGACTGGCCACTGGACTGGCATGGACTGGAAGATACCCTCGCAAAGGATCTCCAAATGGAGATGGTATGTTTGGGTGTATATGTAGATGGTTCACCCAGGGGATACGCCCAACACAGAGGAGACCGATGCACGTGCATACCCCATGCACTACAGATATTGTGCGGCAGGGTGTCCAAAAATTAAAATAATATTCGTAATAAAATTGAATTGAATTGCCAGGACATCAGCATATATCGGCGGCATGTGGGGCATGCAACAAGACCAACAAGAGAAACACCAAATAAATTAATTAATAATAAAAAGGCTATGGCTATTGGTCGCATGATTGGGTTGGTAGGGGGCTGGGGGAAGGGTGTTCCGGTTTGGGGTTTGGCGATCCGGTTCGTTTCGGTTCGGCTCGGCCGGAGAGCAGCAGAGCTCGTTTTTTATTATTTAATTTTGATTTTAAAATATTCTGTAAATATTTCATGCACTTTGGAGATGGCCGAGCAGAGAAAAAAATCGAAACAGGACACGAAACGATGGGGACAGGACATACCAGGACTGACCGCCGTGCGTCCAGGGCCTCTGTTGGGGTCTGTTTCGGGATCGAAATACAATCTGTTGGCCCTACCACCAGCACCAGTCGGGATAAAGCAAGTAATACCTTAGATTTCTTCTTTTGTCCATTTTATAATATATTAATTAGGAATTTTTTCTGGGGGGAACTATTCATTTTTATTTTATATAAAAATTATAGTCCTTACGATCCCTGCTTCTTGTCGAGGTACAATTTTAGCAGTTGTTAGCTGAAAACTCCCACCATTTAATGCCTGAGATGAAACAGTTGCAACTAATTCCAGGACTGTGTTATCGTTGGGGGGTTTTTTTTCGTTATATTTAGAGCTTCCTTTTATCTGTGAGTAAGTCAGTTAAAGACTACAATCAATCCCGCAGAGCTCGCAGAACGAGTGTGAAAGGGGACTGTGTAAGGCACTTGTCGCCTGGTCAAATGTCAGATAAAATTGATGTCAATTGACCAGAGAAAGAGAGGGGGAGTCCTGTTTGGGGGAGGGAAATTAATTGTAATTAATGCATACGTATATTAATGAGAATTCGTGTTAATTAAATGTGACCTACAATAGTCACAACTACAACACCACAACGACAGCAGGACACTCCTTCGGAGCACCATTCCACTGCCCTTGCCTCCATTCCCTACCTATTTGGGTGGTGCCCCCAACCAGCCATTTAAAGGCAATTCAATCAAATAATAACCAAAAAAGAAACAAGCTAAAATTTTGATATAAATTTCCGCTTTTCCGCTTTTTGTTGACCAGCATCGTCATCGTCAGCGGCTCGACTCGATTCGATTCGAATCTCTTTGCATTTCGATCAATTTTATTAATAATTCAATCAGTCAAAAAATTATTTGAAACGCCCCAAAGGAAAACAAAAAAGTTTTCCTCAGCTGGCGATGCTGACAGAAGCTGCGACAGACTGGGGCAGGGACAGTGGCAGTGGCAGAGCAGGGAATGCTCTTGGTCTTGGGTTTCCGCTGGTATCGGCGGGGGAGAGTGGGGTTTATGGGGTTTCCCACAGCATCTTTCTCTGTTTTTTTCCTTCATTTCTGCTTTGATTTGTGCGGTGTAAGGGGACAGGGGAAAAGATGAAACGCAACCGGGGAAAAGTCGTCGAAAGGCGAACGTGGAACATGGAACATGGAACGTGGTGGAACACTGCGCTATTTGCACAGCAAATGCAAAGAAAAATCACAAGAAGAAGTCGAACTGACTGGATGACATTTCGACTATTGGATGCCCATTGTTTGGAACAGTCAATCAAATGGAGAGTGAGCGAGAAAACAACCGAAATTTTCAGATACAAAAGAGTAAAAATTACGAATTCCATCGTATCGATGGAACGAGAAAAGTGATACGGAGATCTAAGATCGAAATGATTTTTGATAAATGTACATATAAGAAGATAATATCATCTTCCAAATATATGAACCTTTTAAACCTCTTTTAAAGTGTGAATGCTGTAATATTTGTAATATTCGGATCGGACATCAGTCTCTACCGAACATAAGCCCTCTAACTATTACAATCTCCGAGGTCCGGATACGAATACGAATACGAATACGAATACGAATACGAATACGGAACATCCCAGCGAGTGCGAGGTATACTCGTAAAAAGGAGAAAGGAAAAAAATCAAAAACCAAAAGTAAATCAAAACGACAAACAAAACAAAACGAGACGCGATGCGATGCGATGCGATGCGATGCGACGCATACCCCCCTCAGATCCCGCCCCCTCCACCATCCACTCTCTCTGCACTTCCTCTACCCTCCACCCACTGCCTGCTCCTTCTGGACTCTCGCCCTCTCTGCGTGCTCCTCCTGCACTCCACCCCCAAAATGAAATAATTCCATTAGTACAATTTCTTTTGCAAGTACAAAGAGTAAATATTGAGGCGGTCTATGCGTGGGATGTGGATGTGGGCTGGAAACGGAGAAGGGAGGAGATACCAGGGGAGTGGGAAAAGGAAATGGAGTGGGAGTGGAAATGGGTATGGGTATAGGAGTGGTGGAAAGAGAATATGTATACGTATGTGAATGTGTGGTAGGCTGTTCTACTGTTCCTTTCTGACCCAATAAGTAATACTCCAATTATAATTGACCGAAAGTCCCACCTCAAACCACCCCATCAATCGCATCCATCTCATCCTTCGTCTCATTTGCATTTGTTGGGAAATAATCCCAGCCTGAGAATGCAATACTCGTAATTGTGCAATTAAATTTCGGACCATTTGGTAAATAGTTTTGGCACCCGACAAACATCAACAGACAGAAATTAACCTAGACTCTGCCCCTCCCCTCCCCTCCTCTCCTCTCCTCTCCTGTTCACCCTTCACTCTGCTGTGGCATCTTCCACCCCT